CAGCCAGCCTACAACATACAAAAGAGGTGCTTTTTCTTTCATATTACGTATTTACTTTATACTGTAAGTGGTATAAATATTAATAAACAAAAAGTTTAGAGCTCCCTTTATTTTGCTTCCAAGTCATTTATTTTAAATGTAAGGTTTTTTACTCAAACTTCCTTCTTAAAATTAAGGTGCGTGTTATACGCCTGGGTGTGTTATATGCCGATAAATACGGTAATTTAGATAATTTCAAAAGCCAGATTACTTTATTAAAAGTTATTTCTTACATTGACTGTGAACTTGTACATTGTTACACGATATCTTGTGGAAACAAATGATCTGCCCTGTCCCAAGACTCATATGATAAGAAGCACAGTTAGAAAATCCATGGTGAAAACCAACACAGAGCATTTTCCGTAGACAATAGTGCAATCAGAGTTTGGTCTGAAATTCAGGTGAACCATGTCCGCTATCAGTAGCAGGTTTAGAGGTTTGGGCAGCCAGACATCAATTCTAGACAGAGGTTGGCGTTTGTAGGAGATCCAACAAGGTGAAGAGTCAAGGTAAGCAATTGGGCTGTCACAAAAGGACTTATGTCTATCATCTGTTGAATTTAGCTGGCACTGATCAGAGCTCATTGCAGAACTGGACTACTTAAGAGTAATACTTAAGTAGAATATTAATTCTAAGTCACTGCCATAAACAATTGATTGGGCTTTAAGGCTGTATCTCCATAGGGGGTCCTGTTATCTCAACGGCTATGAATCCACTTAGACAGAAGTTCAGTAATTGAGAAGGAGAAAATACACAACAGAAGCTGGGTCAGTAGCCAGAAATGTGAGTAGATCTAGGCCATAACTTGGAGGTATTAGCCCAGAGAAATCCCAAGGCAATCCAAGATCACAGGAACCAGATTGAAGCATACAGTCACAGTCAGGTATAATTACAAGCAGCTCAGTATTAGTTGATAGTTGCTGACAGTATTGAAAGACACTCGGGTGCTGGCTTAAATACTCTAATATTGGATATCTCCTCTGAGCCCAACTATTGCTAATTGGGGTCTTTAAGGAAATGTAATTCTGCAAAATCTGTCTCAGTCCTCCAGTATGGCTAATCTCCTGCATGTTTCGCATTCCCAAAGGGATCCAGGGATTTTTGACAATATTTTTGGAAGTGGTTTGTGGTGGCCTCCTCCCTAGGGCTGAGAGATGATGACTGCCCCATGGTTACCCATCTGGCTTTGTGCCTAAGGCAAGACTAGAACTCATAGTCTCCTGGTTTATAGCCTGATGCCTTAACCACTACAGAAAACTACAGGGACTAGTCCAGGCCTTTGT